GAGGGAGGCCTGGCCTGCACAAGGCCACCAGCCTTAGTGTCCTGCTGTTCCTCCTGCCTGGAATGCTTTCCCTGGCCCCAGTTGCAAGCAACCTTCTTCTGTCCCCATCCAGTCTCCATGCCCCGTCACCTCCTCCAAGAAGCCTTCCCTGACTGGCACCTCCTCCTCTCCTTCACAGCAATGGCCGCATCTCACTTTTCTTTCGGTATCTTCCGCGCTGTGGTGCAGGGCCTGGCACTCGGTGCACTCAGGAAAGACTGAGAGCTAATGCATGAGTGAATCAGAGTGAGAGCCTCCAGGGAGCCCCCCGGGCCTGCGTCCACACCCAGCGCCGACATGGGAGGATAGCCTGGGCGGGCATCTGACCCGCTTTTCTCCTCTGCAGCCTGGTGTGGGAAGGACCTTCCCAGGGAGGCATGAACGACCCATGGACCGGGCAGGCAGCGGGGGGGCCTCAGGCTAGACCACCCCGTCACCCAGTCAGCACGTGTGCCATCAGCAGGGGCTTCGCCTGGGCACCTGACTTCATCCAGAGCTCTCTCCAGGGCACCCAGACTTGCCCCAGGGGCCGCAACCGGCAGGGCTGTGTCCCCTCCTCCGTGATCAGCTCCACCCTCTTTGAGGCCATCATCCGGAAGGACCCCCAGCTGCCTCACCGTCAAAGCTGGTGGGGGGGCGTTAATCGACCGACCCTGCACAGGGACAGTGAAGGGAGTCAGCATCGACCCGCCGCGCGGAGCCTGTCTCTGTGATTCGGGTTTAAAGCATGAAAAAGGGAGTTGATGAAATTCCACTATCAGCACCAAGCCAATATGCAAAATATCTCACCCCCAATCAAATAGCTATTATGTTTTCATTTCCATTTCAGCGTCCAGCTTAATGAGCAGGAGCCAGACCGGCACACAGGGTGTCTGCTCGCCGTGATAACTGAGGGGCTCTGGGCAGCGGGGGCCGCGCCCAGCACAGCCTCAGCCGTCAGCACCTACCGTAGACCCATGCTGGACCTTGGGCCCTGGCTTCTCTGCCCTGCTGGGCAGTGGGGCTGTGTCTCTGCCGCTGTCTGTCCAGGCGGTCCGCAGGGGGAGGGGCGGGCTGGCGGAGGTTCCGGCCCTGGCCACCTCCGCTGCTGAGGGCCAGGGGCCGAGCTGTTCACTTTGCAGGGCCTCGGTTTACTCATCTGCAGAGTGGGTGTGAGTGACCTAGGCTTACCTCTTGGGGGTGTTGGGAGGCTCGGAGGAGACTTGCCCGTTGTGACTGGCACTGGGTCCCGGCCTCCCCCTGCACCCCACCCTGCCATCCTCCGCTGTCCCTCCTACCACTCCTCCATGCACCCTGTTCCCTCCTCCACACACACTTTCCCCAGCACCCCTACACCTCTGGGCTATGGGGTGGGGGTAAAGGGTAAACATTTGTGAAATACTGTTTTTTACGGCAGGGCTTAAGAGTTGCATGCACAGTCCCCATTTCCCATTCCCTGCTGGGCCGAGAGCGGTAGTAATGACTCATGTTAGTAATAATGGTAGTAATGCCGATGACAGTTTGGTGCACACCTCCTGCGTCCGAGGTCCTAGGTTCAGCTCTATTCAGGTGAACAACGCGCTTCGTCCTGCAAGGGTATCTCTGAGCACAGGGAGGTAGAGTGACTTGCCTGAGGTCACAGAGGAAGTATACCACCTGCCTGGCCACAAGTTGGCCTGGCATAGCTGTTGGGGTCTCAGGGCAGAGAGGGTCCCACAGGGGTCATGCTGGGGTCTTTCCCAGCACAAGGCACCTGGGGAAACAACAGGTGTCTCACTGATGCCCCAGCCAGTGGAGAAAACTTCCTTCCAGAGCTCAGGCAGGAGGGAGGTGGCACGCTTCTGGGGTGCCAACGCAGGAGTGGGGTGGGATTCACCGTGACACGTCCTGTTTTGGGCTTGGAGCGATTCGCTACTTGGCGTTTGTTTCCCGCATTATCAGAGAAGCTTTAATTGTGCTGGAACTGAATTAGCAGCATTAGAATAAATTGCCGCAGCCAGGCAGCCGCTTTCTTCATGCTCATCTTCATGCCTTTGTTCTCCCATAAATGGGTCCACCACGAGCTCAGGGCCTCCCTGGGTGGCTGAGGCCTCCCTGGGGGACACCCTGAGTCAGGGTTGCCATCCTGGGACCGGGTAGCTGTGGGGAGGGCTGTGCCAGCTCTGTGCCAGAGCATCGCCAGCCCCAGTGCATCGGCTCCTGAAGCGGGTGGCTTTGAACCCGTTTTCCAGAGGGGGCAACTGGGCCTGAAGTTCCACGGCCGTTCAGCAGGAGGGACCATGGCTCCCGGACATCCCCTTCCAGCTCTGAGTGAGCCGCAGAAGGCACACAGTCTTCCAGAAAGGGCCCGGCCAATAGTCTGACCCCACAGGCCTCTGTGCTGTCACTGAGGCCAGGAGGGCTGCCAGCCTGCTAGCCAAGGGGACTGGCAGTGCCCACTCAGGGCAGCCCCACAGGCTGGGACCTGGAAGCCACAACCTCTGCTTTCCTGTGCTGGGCATGCTGAGGGAGGTCACTGCAGGTCAGGCCTCCCACCTGTCCCGGAGCCCAGCCTGCCCGTGAAGGCGCACTGATGGGAAACTGCAAGGCTCTGCCCAGGGCTGCTCCTGTGTCGTCTGAGCCCGCCACAGGGTGGTGAGCGCTGCCCGCCAGCTCCGAGGTGCCCTGGGGAGTGTGGGACTCGCAGGTCTGGAACTAGAATCTACCCTCTGCCTGGGACTTTCTGTGGCTCCCCAGTGGTCCAGGATCAGGATCCCTCCCTCCTTGGCCTCCACAGCTGGCCTTGTCCGCCCTCAGCCTCCCATGCAGAGCTCTGACCCCGTCTGCACACAGTCCCCTGAGATCTGCTCGCAGTGTCTGCCATGTTGCTGTCCCATTTGCCCGCCTCCCTCTGCTCTCCCTCGGCCACTGTTTTGGTGTGGGGTTCCCCGCTTGTTCTCTGATGGTCTCCCCCAGCCCCAGCCTGGAAGTCCCCACAGAGTCCAGAGGTCCCAGGTGCCTCTGCATCTAGAACAGCATGAGGGCGGCTACAACCTGGAACTCAGAGGTCAGCAGAAGGCAGGCAGGCCATCTGCCCCACCAGGGACAACTTAGTCGCCTCCTTAGCCAGCCGGCATCCCTTCCACCGGCGAGGCCCGCTGAACCGCAAGCAAACGGGATCAGGATGCCCACCCGCCTGCTCCATGTGAGTTGCTAGTCTTGGAGGTCAGCCTGGAAGCCAGGTCACGGTGTTCGTTCTGATAGCCTCGCAGGCCTCCCTGGGCCCTGCCATGAGCCGGCGGTGGTGGCCCTGCTGGACATGTCCCTAGCTGGGCAGGCATTTGGGCACCAGAAGCCCCTCCTCAGACCCGCCTGTCTCCCTCCATCGTCCGCCTGCTCATCTTTCACCCCTGCAAAGTCCACCGGAAGGACCGGGGCAGAGCACCAAGGCAGAGGGCACTAGGGATTTGGTGAGAAGCTCCTGAAATGGCAGGTGGTCCCTCTCTGTTTTTCTGGGGAGAAGGCACTGGGGTTTCATCAGGGTCCCCGACGGGTCGTGACGTAGCACAGGTCGGGAGCCACCAGCCTCCTTGGGGGATTCCCAAGCAAGGCTCCATCCGCTGTGGCTTGCTTGCCCCCAGGGACGAGGTGCGCAGCCATCCCGCACAGCTCAGGCCTGCCTCTGTCCCCATGCCAGCCCCCCGCCCCCTTCTGCTCTCCGGGCACCTCTGACATGTGAGTTTGCAGGAGTCGCTGTGGCCTCCGGGCTTCTCTTCTTGCTCACTTGACTCAGCAGCAAGTGGGCCTGGCTGCTGCGGGCTCGGCGGCCTGGGCCCACAAGGCCCTGCCCCGCTCCTGAGAGGGACGACAGGTCATCTGTCTGATGGTCACAGGCGGGGGCAGGACGGGTGGCCACAGAGGAGCAGCTTGGTCAAGCAATTGGGGCAGGAAGCCCCAGCATCTCTCTCCCGGCCTAGGGCCCAGGCTGAGATGAGGCCAGAGGGGCGGGTGTGGGAACAGTCAGGAGAGACGCCTGTTCGGATGGCTGTCTGTCCACTATGCTGGCACCATCCATCTGACTTCGGGGAGAAGGCTGCTCCCCTGACCAGCACCTGGGTCCACCCTGGAGTGTCCAGGTTCACCACTCTTCTGGGGGTGCCTGGGGTCAGCCACCTGTACTCTCGGTCTGCCTTCTCACCTGTAAGGTGGGCTCCATGGGGCACTGCCTGCCAGAGCGTCTAAGGGAGGGTGGGGGCCCAGCCAGGCCTGTGCGACCCCAGCCCTAGAGCCCCGGCTGTAGATCGCTATGTGCTCACCTTTGCCCGTCAGTCATCCATTTGCTTAGCCAGATTTTCTGAGCACTTTCTATGTGCCAGGTATGGAGCCCACCCTCAACAAGCCCCCAAACCTGGGAACCTGAGTGTGGTGGGCTTTTCAGAGGAGGGGTCCTGGGCAGCGAGGACAGCTGGGCAGAGGCCCAGGACAGGTACACCCTCATGTCCTGGGGCTATGGGTGCACATCTGGGCTCTGCGAACCCCGGAAGTGCATGTCTGGGATGGGGATGGGGACGGGGACGGGGACAGTGGGGGGGGGTGCGGGCTGCAGCAGTCATGTGACTCCTAGGGGCCCCTGAGGCAGCAGAGCCAGTGGCTGCCCCCATGGCTTGGGCTGGCCGGGAGGGCACACTGTACCCTGGAGAGATGAAGGGAGGGCCTGGGCCCCTCGTCTGGTGAGAGCAGGTTGGGATGGGGCAGCAGAGATTGCAGGCAGGCATAGTGGGGTGGGATGTGGGGTATTGTTGAAAGGATTGGGGTCTTACAGGATGCGGTTTGCACATCAAGTCTTGGGGGACCCTGAAGGAGCCCCCACGCTAACGAATGCCTCTCATGCCTCTGACCCTATGGGGTGGCCAAACATGTGCCCGTCTGTACTGGAAGGGGCTCAGTGGGCAGGGTGCTGTCACCCCACAGCACCTCAGATTCTCCTCCGGCTGTGCCCACAGGTTCGCTTGGAGAGATGGAGGCTGGAGAAGAGGCCCAGGCTGTGGATGCCCACCTTCCAGAGCAGAAGGCTGCAGCGCTGGAGCCCGAGGGCTCTGGGGACCCTGAGCCTCTGAGCCCAGGTGAGCCAGCGACAGGCACACCTCCGGCGGGGGGCCTGCACCCCGAGCCACCCCCATCCCTTCCGAGGACTCAGCCCCCACACCTGTGAGATGGGCATTGAGCTCCAGGGGCCTGTGGGCCTGACCTCCACCAGGGAGTGGAGGGCGGCCTGCATACATGCCCTCAGCGCGAGGGCCTCAACAGTCCAGCTCCCAGTAGTGCGGACGGAGGGACCAAGGCCCCGGCAGGGATGGTCTAGCCAGGGCTGGACAGGGAGTCATGTGGGCCACTAGGTGACGTCAGGAAAGCCTCAGTTTACCTACTGTGAAAGGGGCACAGAGAGGTCTTGCCTGGCTGTGCTGCCTGAGCACACTTGGGGCTTGGTTCACAGCAGGCCCTCCTGTTGAGGCGTTTTACCCCAGTTTACAGACAAGAGGGTGAGAATAAAGGGGTCCAGTGACCTGCTCAGGCCACACAGCCTGTCAGCCTTGCAGGATCTGCCCAGGTCTGGGCCCAGGCTGATTTCCCACCCCAGCCAACCCCAGACACCTAGAACCTCTCCCTGGCCCCCCTGGCAGCAGTTTTCCCGGCTTAGGGGTGGGGGTCAGTGAGGGTACATCTCTCAAGCTGAGAAGAGGACTTAGTGATACCCAACCCCGGGGGTGAGTTAACCAGCCCCAGGAGGCCTCTGGCCAGGTCCCTGGCAGGGCAGCCTCTCAGACCAGCGTGCCTCCAGAGAGCCCGGGAGGGGCCTCACTAAGCTGCTGGTGCTAGGGGAGGCCAGCACCCTCACCCCTGCTCCCCAGAAGAGGATGCTGGGAAGGTCCGGGCTCTGCTCCCCTCTCCCCAACCCGGTGCACTGGCCTCCCCACTGGGCTCAGAAAGCCCACTGCGTGCAGAAGCCGGGTCCCCCAGGCCATAGCCTGGCAGGAAGCTGGAGCACAAACCAGCCATTTGGAGTGTGGTGACTGGGAGTGAGGAGAGATTGGGGGGTGACACTGAGCAGGGACACTGGGTGGGTGTCCCAGGCGGCGGCCCCAGCCTGCAGGGGTCCTGGGATGAGGTGGAGAGCGGACAGCCAAGAACTGCAGGGGGCTGGGCTGGAGCCCCTCCAGGGCCCCACCCTCAGCATTTCCCACCCCTGCAGTGCCCTCTAAGACCCACTGGCCCCCGTGTCCCCTCCCGGTGGCACCCCACTGGGTTGGCAGGGCCCTCAGGACTTGAGCCTGGGGCCGGGGCTCCATCACCCCCGCTCAGCAGCATTCGCCCACACCCTCCCTGGGGCCCATGCTCCTGTTCTCTCTGAGCCTCGGTTTCCCACCTGCAACTGGGTGCCAGCCCCTCCCGGTGGGCTGGGGAATGCTGAGGGGCCCCCTTATCACTGCTGCCATCGCCATCATGATCAGGTGCTGCACACTAATGGGGCCACCATCTGCCAAAGGGCAAGTGGCTGTTACTGGTGGACTTCGAGCTGGGCGGCTTCCTGGGGAGCCAGGCCCCTTATCTGATCTGGGAGCCGGGGCTGCATGGGAGTGGGGGCAGGGCCCAGGAAGGAGCTGGAAAAAACAGCCAGGGCTGCACCTGGCACAGGCCCGGGTGATAACACAGCGATGGGCACGATAGACGGCAGGAGCAGTATCTGCCTCTCAGGCGGGCCCAGCGCGGCTCCACGCTGCGGCTGGAGCTCAAATGCCAGCCACGTTGATTTATAGCCAAAAATAATAGGACTTTTATACTGTGTGATTGATTTATTTGATGTTAATCACAGTGCTTATCTGGGGTATTAATAATCTGCCGGGTGTGTGACGTCACCAAGGGGGGGCTTTTATGGAAGCCCATCGATTGGGGGCCTCAGTGGTTATCAGGCACAGCAAGAAAGGCAAATATGCCCTTTGGGCTGGAGTTGGGTGCAGGGCCTGGAGGAGGGGGCCCTGCTACCGGCAGAGGAGACCGGGGAGCCCAAGCCCACGCGGTGCCCGCTGGCCTGGGTGTGCCCAGTGAGCTCTCCTGTGCTCTGATTATTAACTGCGGCTGGAATAGCAATTACTGTTGCTGCAATTAATGGGAGATGAGGGGTGTTAAAGGCCAAGGGGAAAATTGAGAAGTCTGCCCCCCGCCCGCCAGTTTTGAGCAAGCCTGGGGCATGTGCTCACCCCCCTGGGCCTCAGTGTCCCTCCCAGCCGCAGGGTGGAGTGGGCAGGTGACTCAGTGCCCAGTGGCTTGGCAGGCCTGAGAGTGTTTTCCCCTCTGCAGATGCTACTCCCCCACCGCCCCCACCCTCCACGTCCCCACAAGGCCCTGAGGAGACACCGGGGCAGGAGTCAGTGAGGAGGCCAGAGGAGGAGGTCAGCAGCCCCTGGAGTGGGCCAGGTGAGAACATCCGCGGGCAGGTCTGGGGCAGCCACCTTGACGGCTCGGGTGGGATAGGCCCAGGCCTGCCGGCCAGGGAGCAGGGTGACGACCTGCTGGGCCCAGGCCTGTGCCTGTCCCAAAGTGCAGCCAGCCTGTGGGTCCAGCAGTGTGGTAGGAGGGGACACTGAGGCACGCTGATGCTCAGAGCTGGATTCAGGCCCCTGGTGGCAGAAGGAAGTGTTCTCAGGACACCCAGGAGGAGGAACAGGTGTGGGGGGAGGGGGACGGTGCAGGGAAGGGCACCTCAGGAGGTGGGAACAGCCAGGGCCAAGGCAGGGTGGTGGGTGTGCCTGGAGAGCCTTCCTGGCTGGGCTGGGGTCCAGAGCTGGGCAGTGGGGGCCCACCCTGTGTGGGAAAGGACCCAACCCCAGCTCTGGGGCAGCTGTAGCCACTTGCGAGTAGGCACCCAGCTGCTGGGTGCTGGACCTCGAGGGGTGTCCTTGGGTCCGGTTTGTGTGGCCCATCCGGCCCCCGTGTGCATTAGGAGCTCTGGCCCAGAGGCCCTGCCAGATGCGTTCTCCCGTGGCCCTCGTGGCCTGTCCCACCCCTCTGTGAATATAGGAAAGGGTGGGCGTGCCAGTTGTTCCTGATGAACGCCCAGCTCAGCCCAGGGAACATGGGGAGAGCGTGGGAGGGCTTCGAGGGCTGCCTCTCTGGGCACAGCTTGTCACTAGGGGCCACTGCATGGGAGCTGGGAGGCGAATGGGGGGTGTGGTCTGTGCTGAGCGGACCACAGACGGCGGCTGCGTACTCGGGCCAGGCGTGTGGGTGCAGCATCATGAGCACCTGACGGGCACCAGACATACACTGTGAGCGGACAGCCCTTCGGGAGCACGCGTGCAGGCATGATAATGCCAGGCAGGCTCATGACCAGTGGAGAGGAAGCACGTGGTGAAGGCCTCGCCCTGCTGGGAGATCAAGGAAGGCTTGCTAGGGCAGATGGGTACCCCAGTCCTCCTCTGGGGATTCCCCAGAGGCCAAGATTGGAAAGGTGCCAGAGATGGTCTCCTGCCAGGTTCAATTTGGGTGACATCCCAAGGTGTCAAGGGAAGTGCTGTGATTGATTAGTAATGTCTGCACGGGTGCCTTGCTGTCCTGGTTCCCACAATAGGTGGTAGATCAAGGTCTTGGGAAGGAGGGGTGGCCTGCTGGTCACGACCGAGATGGTGCCCCCACACCTGGGGAAACCGAGCCTACTACCAGCCCTGACCACCTGGGTGGGCTGTGGAGCATCCTGAGTAAAGCCGTTCTGGGGTTTCCTTGGCTGCCCCACCCCACCTCAGGGACCCAGTAACAGATGGGGGAGGCCCGTGCCCTGGAAATGTGCCGACAGCATGCCCCCTCCCCACCAAGGAGCCCCTGGCAAGAGACAGGCTGCAGGGCCAGGTGCCCACGAGGCCCTCTCAGCCTAGGCAGACACAGCTGAGCTGCACGCCCACCTGCTCGGTGCTGGGGCCTGTCCACACCCAGGGGACAGTGCCGTCAGGCCAGGCAGGGGCCCTGTGGTCAGAAGCTCTGCCTCCCTCAGCTTCCCCAGCGCTAGAATGGGGTGACAGTGAGGAACCCCAGACACCATGGGGTCAGCACTGCCCTTGGCACCACATCCCCCCCATTCCAGGCTTTATCAGAGGGAACGTCTTTCTGCAGTGGGAGGCGGGCAAGGGGCACACATGTGCCTGGGGGACCCTGCTTAGCCCTTGCGCAGGCAGGGCATGGGGCGGCAGCCGCCCAGTGGGGTGCCTATGGGGAAGAGAGGGCCAGCAGACCTCACACCAGTCCCTCAAGGTGAGCGCAGGGGTGTACCCCAACTCTCCAGAGGAGATGTGGGCACCAGTCTGGGAAGTAGCAGAGCTGAGGTGTGGACCTGGCCCCCGTTCAGTCACTGCAGCATTAGTTCTGGCACCCCCACTTTCCACATGGAGAAGCAGGGGCCCCGAGAGCTTGAAGCCTGACCCAGGGTGCCTGTGGGGGCTGTGGTTTGGGGCTGGGGTGCACCCGGGAGCTTCCTGCACTATTTGCATCCTCGGGGGCCAGGGAGCTTCCCTATCAGCTCCCACAGATAGGAATTTCTGTGCAGTGGGCAGCGATGGGCTGATAAGTGGCCGCTGGCCAACCGCCGCGGTGGCTGCCCCCTATCAGACCCCGAGCAGGCCACACTTATCGACAACCAGGGAAGCCAGAGAGGCCCAATGGGTTCTTATCTCACAGGGGCCTCCTGGGCCAGTGACGGGGCGGCAGGCTTTGCCGGGGCCTGGCTGGGTCAGTGTTCCCAAGGGCAGTGTCTGGCCCATGACCAGCCAAGGGGACAGTGGTATGCAGCCAGGGCCTTTTCCTGCAAGTCCTGGCCCCCCGTCCCTTCTCCGTCCCTCTGAGCCTCACTGCCTGACCCATGTGAGCATCTCTCTCCCCCTGTCTCTCTGTCTGTCTCTCTCTCCCTGTCTCTCCTTGTCTCTCTCTCTGTCTCTCTGAGTCTGTCTCTAATCTCTGCTTTGCAGTACTCCCCTATCTCCTCTGTGTCTGTCTGGCCCCCTGGTCTGTGAGGCCAGCCTGGGGAGCACCCCTCTTCCTCTCTCGGGTGAGGGGACTTGGACCCCGGTGCATCCCGTGCTGTGTGGCTTTGGGGGAGAGACTGGGCCAAGCGTTGTTTCCCAACTGCCTGCACGGGGTGGGACACCGTCACAGCCCAGAGCCTGGGGCTCGGCTGTGCCTGATGCAGCCCACTCATGGGCCCCACCTTGCTTTTGTGGCCACCATCTGCTGGCCAGGACCAGGGCACACAGGTCTCCAGGGGACCCCATCCTCCAGGTCAGGCCCATCACCCAGAGGAGGCACTCAGGCTGCAGGGGCCCAGGGCAGGCGGCACCAGCCTGGCAGAGCAGCAGGTCTAGGTTCCCCCTTCCACAGTGGCACAGTGACTGCACGAGGCTTCCCTGCCGCCAGTGGTCGAGGTACCCGTGTAGCACCAGGCAGAAAGCTGTCCCCACATCCTGTCAACCCAAGCAGGGCACTGGATGCGTAAAGGCTTTGAAACACCAGAGTATGGACCCTGGGGCATGCAAGTGCCCATTTTATCCTGCCTCCCTCCTGCCCCTGCCAACACCTGGTGACCCCAGAGCCCCAAAAACAGGCCGAGGAGGTGCTCAGGAATATTTATTTTTGTTTTCAAAACTTTCGAGCTTTGTCAGCTGCTGATCAAGTGGGGGCACCCTAAGCTGCCTCAAAAGACCACACACCAGCCCTGGAGCCGTGCGCCCAGGCTCTGCCCAGCTTTGCCAGGTGGCCGTGGGCTGGCGGCTCGACCCTGGGCCTCACCTTCCTCATTGGTGCCGCAGGGCTGCAGAGAGCCGGTGGGGTGGGGGGGACCCAGGCAGCCTGGCTTCTTCTGACGTTGGGCATGTAGGTTCTGTGGACAAAGCCAGGCCAGGCAGGAAGGCACTGCACCCCACAGCTCGTCCTGAAGCAGGGAGACGCCTTCACGCCCTCTCATCTCAGTCCCCACTGCCCGGAGGTCCCCACTGTGCCTGGAGCAGGGTCCCCTGACGGTCAGGGTCTGGGGACCCGGCTGGGTTTGAGAAGCCCCAGGGATTCCACCTTCCTCCTCTGAACAGCAGCCAGACAGCAGCTGCCCCCTTGGGTGCGCTGGGGCAGAGCGCTCACAGGGTGGGTGCTGGGGAAAGGACCCCCGCAGCAGGTGTGAAGGGGACCCGGGTGCCCAGGGAGCCCAGATGGCACCGGTGAGTGGACGCGCAGCATGGTGGAGGAGGGTGCTGGAGAGAGCGGTGACCCCTGAGAGGGCCCTGCAGGGCCAGGCAGAGGCCAAGAGGGGTTGGGAGAGGAGGGCCCAGTGGGGGTACAGCGCTCCAAAGGCCCAGAGGCTGCTGGAGTGCTGGGAGCTGGGGTCTGCCCCCGAGGGGGCAGGGATGGGCAGGGTCCTGGCAGAGGGGGTCCCCTGGGCTGCCTGGGGAAAGTAGAGGAGGGCAGAGCAGCAGACCCCCTCCCCTCTGGTCTGTCAGGGGTACGGCCCCTCGGGGAAAGGCACTACGCCAGGGGGTGCGGGCTGGGGCTGTGCGGGCCCCACCCCACCCTTGGCTTGCCTTGACTGCCAGAACTAATTTCAAGGTTGGGGGGGTGACAGGAAGCCGGGAGGGCTCAGTATCCTTATCTTTGAAATGACCTTGTTTGTTGGAGGGGCTGGCTGTTTAAAATTCTGATATGCAAATGTCCAAGAGCTCTAATCTGTAATCCCCAAAGCAGTGTGGGAGGGCCCTGCCTGGGGCTGTCGGGGCACTCACCCCTGAGCCCCCCTGCCCACTTCCCTTCCCCACTTAACATCCAGGAGAAGCAGGCCTCACAGACAGGCTAGCTGCACTAGGACTGAGCCCAGGGTTCGGTCCAGGCCTGTCGCCCACGCAGGCCCATCTGTGCCTCTGTCGGGTGGCAGTCAGTGTGACCTCAACCTGCCAGGCCGGGTCATGAGAAAACAGATGCAGGAGTGTCTGCAGTGAGTGGGGTGGGCCTGGGTTTAGGCCCCCAGGGGGTCTGGGAGCCTCCTCTGCAGCCAGGCCTGGTGTCAGGTCCCCTCGCCAGGGAGCCTGCCACGGCCTTCTCCACCCTGAGCAGCCCCCTGGCCAGCAGAGCAGGAGCACCCGGCCCAGGGTTGCCTGCCCACCCCCTTGTGCCCAGCACAGGGTAGGCATGGACAAGTGAGTCTCCATCCAGCCTCCCGTCTGCTGCTGGGAGGCGTGGGGCCACGTGCCATCTGCCGCCGTGCGGAGGGCTGCCCATCGCAGGTGCCACGCTCAACCAGGGGCAAGGAGGAAAAGGCCCCCAAAGGCTCCCCACCAGCTTTGAGGGTGTCAAGTGGCCGTGAGGGCAGCCTGGGCCCAAGAAAGAAAGGGGTGCCTAGGGGCGCATTTGTTGTTAAGGGCTAGGGAGCAGGGTCCCCTTCACCCATAAGT